TGTGATCTTTAAACAGCTGAAGTGAATACTGGGTATTTTAGGAGGGTCTTAAATTTCCACACCAAATTAACAAGAGGCTTGGAAATTAAGGAAATGGCACCCAGAGCACTGGTCATTTCCACAGTCCCTTGCACAATACAGAAAAAACCCAGTCAGAGCTGTGTAATTCTAACCGCCACTTATTCCATGATGTATAAACTATGGAGTCAGATTAAATTACAAAAATACCTGTCAACTAAACTGAAAAGCTATCTTTATCATAAATACAGTCACTTGTAATGAGAAAACTCAATTACAAAAAGTAGATAGGACTTGTTTCACTAAAATCTTAAAAGATCTACAAAAAACAAAGATCCTTACCTTCAGGCACAATTTAAGAATTTAGCAACAAATTAGAACTTTGAACTAATAACTAAACTGATTTTAAAATGTGTTTTAGAACAAAATGCCCAAGTTCTAATCTGTTTTTGTCAACACAATTGTGTCACTTCAAATTTGCCTTCTCCTAAATGTTCTAAATCTCAAAGATGACTTGACAGCTGAGTACATATTCCCTAAGATGTATTAATACATTTGAATTAGTGACATGCAGCAACTATATTACACTAAAACGGTGAGCCTTCACTAAGGGAGAAACAAAAAGCCATGAAGGACAACATCATACCCACTGGTGCATGCAAACAGATTACAATCTGTTTTAGTCACTTCATCTTTAGTGCCCTTTCTGTACAGGTGCATCTCATCTACCCCTGAAAAGCTGAACCCAGAAATTTACCAATAACAGTAAGTTAAAACATAGGGAATACACAGGGTTTTAATGCACTACATAAATAAGAAAACACTCAAAATAAATGATACTAGACAGTAAAGGTACTAAAAAAAAACCTAAAAACAACAACAACAACAAAAAAACCTCTTTCACAAGTAAACAAACAATGGGTGTGAGTACTGAGACCCACAAGACCCTATTCGGACCCAAAAGGAGGGCGGTGGAGAAAGCAAGCTCATTTCCTTTCATTAAAAATCAGAGTGCAACATCTATAGTTAAACAACTTTATTAACATAGTCAAGCAGTGATTAACATTCACATCTATTATGTCACATCATACAAATGTAAATACAAAAATTACTACAGTACAATATATATTCTCTGCATGATCCAAAATATTTGGTGGCCCCAAAAAACTCTTTTAAAATTCAGCAGCTTATCAAAAATTAAAACCATATTCTATTTAAAATGAAGATCTGTTAGCACAGAGTTAGACTTCAAGAAATTATCAATTTAGTACAGTCTGAGAAATTGCAGGAGGGTATATTTGAAGGACGCATTCTAACATGGTGTGGCAGGTACAGGAAACATCAGATTTAAAGCTTTTAAGCATAACTCATACAACCTAAGTTGTCAGCAGAAAGATCCAGTTATTTATAACTAAAGCTAACGCCACTAAATTATTGCACCCAATGTTAACATGAATACTAAGTGTGAAACTGCTTTATAATATGAAGCCATTTACCACATCAAATCTTTTCTCACAAGATGATAATCTATTGAGTAGTTAATTACACAGTATTGTCTAATTATTTCCGTAAAAATCCACCAAGCTCAATTTGGTAGTATGCTCTAGTATACCCACAAAGGAAAACGAAGCATGAGGAAAAGCACAGCAGAATCCTCGATGAGGCCAACATTAAGAGTGGACCAACACTGCCTTACAGGCTAACCATGTTAACAGCAGGCTTTGAGAAAGATAATCAGACCTGTGAAACTGCCAATTCTGTACAGTAAGCCACAATATTAGGGGGTCCTATGGTTAAAAAAACTTATAAAAAGGAAAACTACTGGCATTCCTATTTAGTGATATACTGCTTGGCAAATAGATTTGGCTTGGTTTTAAAATATACAAGTGGGAAAAAAATCACAATTTTAACTTCCCTCAAAATCATGCATACATTTAGCTGTTATGCATCTTTTTATCTAAACACAACACATTCCAGGATACAAACCCTAACAGTTGCTACCATTTAAATGTATACTTCAAAAATTAATATGCACAGTAAGTAGGCATAAAGAATTATCTATATATAAACAAAGCCAATGGGAGAACGATCTATGTAAGACTAAAAAGATTAGTCACAAGTTACCCAGCAAGTATACAGGCGAATCAAACCAAAAGTTCACGTGAAATTTAGAGTCATTACAAGTATTGCCATATTTAATACAGTACAAAATGCATTAAGCTGGCATATGATGCTACTGCATGGTATTAACAGATAATATTGTCAACACAACTATTAATATTTTACCTAGATTATCCCAGGGCCGTTATTATTTGTGGACTAGATTTCTTTACCAATTCCAATGCCTACACCTCATTAATATACGAGTAGCAATAATTAGTGTTTTCCTCCTTTGTAACATTTGTAAAAGTAATTCAATAAGCAAAACTGTTTTTGAAGTACTAACAAAGGGAGGGCTTAAACTGCAGTTATTCATGATACACTCTTCACTTGGAAAGAATGTTTTTGCACCGTTATGTTAATACATTCAATATGAATATAGATTATATGAAGCAAAAACAAAAGAAAGCAAAAAAAGAAAACAACAAAAAAGCAAAACCATTTTTCCCCCTCATGCCGAAGATCTGAAGTTTAGACTAAAGAGTTTAAAACATAACCAGTTTAATCCTGATATTTCACCTATGCAGAACAATTTCAAATGGGGGAGAAATTTTTCTATTTTCAGGGTTTGGAGGAAAACCAAATTAGATTAATTAGATTTCAAATAATCTACACACGCGAGTTGAGAGTAGGAGTCTAAACCCCTTCAGTCTGCTAAAACTAGAAAAATAGGGACGATTCCTAATGAAATACACCAAAACAACGACTAAGTATGATGACCCTTTATAAACATGTCATGAAAGCAAAAATGATGTAAGGGTGTTCACCTGAGATAAAACTTGTTATCACTATTTTATAACTGAGTAGACAAAGCATTTCAAGAGGAAAGTCAGTGGAAATTATTTTAAAATATACATCTGATCTTATTTTACAATATATGCAATTTAAGCAATTCAGATCAATGAAAAAGTCTTAACCGAAACAATCACAGTGTTTTATCAATGTTAATTACAAAAAGAAAAGCTACTTGTTTTTAAGATGTAATGGCTTGGTTAAGTGTTTTAAAGTCTATTCTGAAATTTAACTTGCATAACAAAAGCAAGTAGCAATAATGTAAAGCATCAGAACTGGCTCTTAAAGATATTTACAAGTCGATTATTTTGGAAATAACCAACCAAAAAATATAAGTGATTTTTTTTTACACAGTATGAAGTCATTATATATTAGACAATACAAAAAGCAAAATTACTTCCTGAATAAATGAATATCTGTGGCACTAAGTTCACTTGCTAATGGACTGTAACATGGAACTGCCAAACATGCATTTAAGTTATATTAAATACACTTTCTGTTTCCAACTTAGGTTGATCAGCAGCTTTTGTTCTGTTAGAATCCTTCAAAGAGAGAAGCTCAAACAGGAAAAAGAAGGCATATATAAAACAGTAAACACTGACCTCCTGAGGTTCCTACAACATAAAAATATTCAAGTAGAAAATCTACATCACTTAGCAGCGGCTATTTCTGTAGTTGACCACACTAAGAGTGTTAGTGTGTAAGGAGCAGATGAAGTAAGCCGTGCTCTAAGCATGCCAAGAGGCAGAAACACTGGAATGTAACAAAGACAACTCACAAGCTCATAGACATTCAGTCAACATTCAAAACTATTAAGACTACACACAGATTAAATTGCTTTACATATATTTATATACATATATATATATCCCATGATGTACTGTTTCATCAGAAGAATGCTAAATTACAGCTTAACTCGAAAGATAACTTAAATGGCTTCTGCAAATTCCTGTGCTATACTATTTTAACTAAATACAATATAAATCAAGAACAATAATCTCAATGGGAAAAGAAATTAACCTACTATCAGGTTGCCAGTTCTATTCACTTGATTTTATTTTCTATTTTAAAATTATAATTTAAATATGGAAACAGATCAAATGAGTACAAAATGGACATTCTAATTGGAAGTTGATTTTTAATCAGACGAATATTTTTGCCAATACTAAATTGTTAATCACAGGTTTTTATGCACTTCTTTTATTGCATTTCAAGAAAAATTTGGCCATTTCTTAGAAGTATTTACTCTCCTATTCCAGAATACTAGCCACACGGAGTTCTAAAAGGTATCACTATTTTTAAGGACAAAAGTTACCTATTCAGGTTTTAGAGACTAAGGAGCAAATTCTGAGCTCCTAGTTAAAACAACTGAACTAGAAAACAAAATGCCATGTACCTCTGAATTTAATTTATAGCAGTTCTTTAAAAAATTGGGCATAATAAAATGATTTAATTTCAGGCTCAACAGGCTGAAATTTGCAAAGCCAAAGTAGGGAAAAGAAGGTGAAAGGACATGTTAAGAAAAACAAAAACAAACACACACACACACACACACACGCGCGCGTGCGCGTACACACACCCCTTTCTGCATGCTTCCATGCATCAGAAATTTTTTGAAACGGTATTTATCAAGTCACACGCACACAGCTCAAATGTCAGTGCAATGGCTGTATCATTCAACTTTTAGAGAACAGAACCATGCAAAGAGGAGCAACTGCTTATAAAAATGGTTATTCAGTATTTATTCTGCAATGCAAAGGTGACAAACTAAAATATAAAAAGGCTGTTATGGCTTAACATTTTTGTTGCAGATTAAATATGCAGCATTGAAAAATGGAAAGGCGTGGCTTCATCTCTGACCAGCAGAGTTAAAAAGAAAAATCTCTCCATTTTCCTTCATCATCATGGGATACACTGTTCAGGCAATCCAAATTAATAAAGACTTGCACTTTCATATGGACACAGGATCAAGTGTACCAGTTAAGTTTTCACATTCACAGTATATAAGAAAATACACATGAAAGGAAAAGTAAAGCATTAACTTAACAAGGATTTATTCACAGGAATACATGGTAAGTAGAGAAAAATAACAGAAAAGCTAAACAAATGAAATGAAGAGGATCCAAACCAACTTTCACTCTGTAGCTTTTAACTTGCACCCTGTGTGCATTATATCTAGGGCACAGAGGGCCACCAACATGCGCCAACAGTGTAGGAACCCTGCATTACATCCATTAACTTAAACATATCTTTAAGATCATGCTTTGAACAAAAAAAGTAAAGTTTAGAAGGCAATATGCTGAGTGGGAATAAACAATCAATTATAGCAATCATTTTCAACTTCTACAATTGTCTTTATGTGCCAACTAACACTTATGCAGCCTTTTACAGAACTTTTTACCATGTAATTTAAATTTTAGAAGTTTTGATGAAATCACTAGTAGTATATAACCATGCAGAAAGCACATCACACTGACAGCACAGAGGCAAAGGTTTTGCACAGGTATATCAGCTTTCCACATTGTGCAGGTTACACACAATACAATGTCAATCTTATTCCTAACAGATCCTAAAAAGATATTGCAAGGCCTAGCTGTAAACTACAGTACTTTATATATCTATATTCTTAATAAAAATAAAATCCATAAATCTTAAAAAAATTTAAATGCAGGGCTATACTGAATTGGTAAACTGCAAGACAAACTGGCGCAACATAGGTAAATGAATACCAACCTCACTCTACGTGATGCAAGCATGCTACTTTCCCACTAATTTAAATTACTTTCAATCACTATGAGCCAGAATGCATGCCTGAACCTTAAACTGCACTTTAAAACATGTGTTGGCCTAGAAATTAAATCTAATGAAGTACAACCATCAAATTATATCCACTAATGTTTAATGCAAAATTAAGATGTCAACTTTAGTTTGATATGCCCAACCCCACCTATTCCTCCCTCCCTGCCCACCCCGCAAAGGTAAAAGGAGTGACTCATTTGGCATTTCACAGGGTGCTTCGTTGTTCAAATTAGTTTTGTTTTATTTCCAACATTTTCTGGGGGGTACCTTAAATTGTATTTTCCAAGAACCTGCTTCTACTATGGGAAGGCAAGCTGATTTTAACTTTATTAGCTTTGTGTAGCTCTTCATCAGCATGCAAAACACAGCCCCATAATGCGGGAACATTTATATAAAAACCTTTAAATTAAAAAGAAAAAGCTTCTTTACCATACATAACCCCCATTCTTAGGTTTCTTTTATTGTGCGCTACAGAATTGTTCCTCTCTTTTCCCTACGCATCATTTATATGGTTCTTGTTTTGATACAATTCCCCATAATATTCCAGAATGTACTGCTTTGTGAGTAGACTGAATAGATTTGGTTTTTTGCTTCTTCACATCCAGTGTGGAGTTGTAACTGGAGACAGATTTCCACCCACAAAAGGCTCCAGATGTTAAAACGTTTCCCAACATCGACCTAATACAGTGACGGCAACACCTCCCTCCCGCCCCGCCCAGTAGGGTTGGGATTGTACTGTATTCCCTACTGGTTTACCCTTCCCCCCTGTAAAGGGTAACATTTTCCCTGGTGCAGAGGCTCCCTCATAGTCTCCAAGACTGGAGGACCTGGAAGAAAAAGAAAAAAAAAATTGCATTTTTAATACTGCTTCTTTCAGAGCCATAAACTTAAATAACAATGCTACCTTTATCTACATAAACAGGAAACTGGATAAACTCTAACATTACAGTGGTTACAATCATGGTATTTCCTTCTTCTATGGCCAAATAGTCTCTTTATATCAGATATGAAAAGTGAGTCTGAGGTGGGGACACACAGCTGGGTGTGTGGTGATCTGTATAGATGAAATCCACCTTGTACAATGCCATGCTGACCTTCTTCAAAAATGGATTTGGGGGCCGGGGAGATGGCTCAGTGGAATAAGCGCTTCCCTGGCAAGCACAAGGGCCCGAGTTCAATCCCCGGTTTCTTACACACACACACACACACACACACGCACGCACAGGGTTCCACAAAACTATTTAACAAGTCACTTCATTTTCTTCAAAATGAAACAGCATTTCTTGTAGAATTTCTTTTTTTAAATTTTATTTATTTATTTGTG